ATCTACCAACACTTGTTCCTCATAGCTAGTGTCTCACTCCCACTGTCTATTTTCCTCAAATACAACGTCTCTGCTAGTCACCACCCTTTTTGCCACTGGATCATACAGCCTGTAGCCCTTCGACTCCTCACTAACTCCCAAAAGCACGCATCTTGAACTCTTGTTCTCTAGTTTAGTTCTCCTGGCGTCTGGCATGTGAACATGTGCCACACACCCGAAGACTCTAAAATGTTCCACTGTGGGTTTTACACCGGACCATGCTTCTTCAGGAGTGATGTTCTTGACTGCCACTGTAGGACTTCTGTTTAGCACGTATATGGCCCAATTCACTGCCTCAGGCCAGAAGGTGTTGGGGATCTTCTTTTCTGAGAGCATTGAACGAACCATATTCATCACTGTTCGGTTCTTTCGCTCGGCCACTCCATTCTGTTGTGGAATGTATGCATTGGTAAGCTGCCTTTTGATACCACACTGTCTACAAAACTCACTGAACTCTTCTGAGTTGAACTCACCCCCTCTATCAGTGCATAAACACTTGATATGCATTCCTGTCTCCTTCTCAACAAGTTTCTTAAAGCATTTAAATGAATTCAAAGCTTCTGATTTTTCAACTAAGAAGTAAACCCATGCTTTTCTATTAAAGTCATCAATAAAGCATAAGACATACCTCTTCTTGCTATTTGATGTGGGAGCCACTGGACCACATATGTTTGCATGTATGAGCTGCAGTTTTTGGGTTGCCCTCCATGCACTCTTCTTAGGAATGGAGTTTCGGTGTTGCTTTCCGTTCAAACAATTAGTGCACACCACAGTGGTAAAAGGAAGATGAGGCAGTCCACGTACCATATTCTTGGTTTGCAAGGTATTGAGACCTTTATGGCTTAAATGGCCATATCTGTGATGCCATAAGTCAGAGAGATCCTGTGCACTTGTGTGAAAGCATGCCTCCTTCTTCTCTTGTGTATTGGCTAGCAAGATGAACATTCTATTTGCTGACATAGCAGTTTGAATAATTAGACCTCTATCTGGATGATAGATTTTACACATTCCGCCATGAATGAGAATGGCTGGCCCCTTCTCCTGCAACTGTCCGATACTCAGAAGGTTATTCTTCAACTCTGGCACATAGAAGACTTCTGTGATGACATGGTTAAGACCATTCAACTGTAGTCTGACATTTCCTCTTTCTTTTACTGTCATCCTGGAATTGTTCCCGAGTTTTACTTGCTGCCTGAAACTTTCATCTAATTCACTGAACATCATCTCCACACATATGATTTGAGCAGCCCGAATCTAAAAACCATACATCATCACGTTTTCCTTCATGCCTTTCTACGTAAGCCATCAACAACATTTCCTCATGCTTATTCGACTCGGCATAATTGGCCTCCTTGTCCCATGTAGGACACTCATACTTAAAATGACCGAGTTGATGACATTGGTAGCATTCCACTGTGGCTTTGTTGAAGGCTTGACGCCCTTTGCCTCTTCCCCTTCCTCTATAGCTGTTTCTGTCACGTCCTCTTGCTCCAACTCCCTCATCTGTGGTCACCTTTAGAGCTTGCTCCTCCCCATTGTTCTTGTGAAACTTTTGTTCATGTACAATCGATAGAACAAACAATATAGTTAAATTTGTCTGTCAAGGACCTAAGAATCTTCTCAACAATGGTGACATCACGCATTTGCTCCCCATGAAATCTCATTTTGTTACTTATTGACATAACTCTACCAAAATATTCAGTAACACATTCACCTGACTTCATTTCGAGAGTCTCTAATTCCCTCCTCAAAGCTTGAAGGACTGACCGCTTCACTCTAGCATTCCCTTCGTACTTCCTTTTCATCGAATCCCAGATTTGTTTCGATGTGTCCT